GCTCCCTCGGGGTGGCGGTCCCCACCGCGGGGACGAGGCCTCCCAGCCGCCCCCGCGCACTCCTCACACGTGCATACCCCCCCCCACACAGACTACAACTTACATACACGCTCGTATTTCATGCACATATTCATTATCAGCAAGTATTTATTGAATACCTGCTATGTGATACTTTCTAAGCTCTGAGGACACAGCTGTGGAGAAGGCACTGAACACCTGTGCCCTGCAGAACTTAAACATCCTGGTTTACATAACTGGTCTACTCGTCCTGCACAGCAAATCCAGCTTTGCAGAGATTTCTGGTTTTCAGGGAAGAACTGGGGCATTTGCACCAGACAAGGCTCCAGGCAGCCCACGGTGCTGGTATTCTCACTCTTCCCCAGAGCTTCTGAAGCGGTGTGGACGAGGGGCCTGCCGGCTCCGTGGCCAGCCAGCTCTGAGCACGGGCTGTCACCCAGGGGCCTTCCCCGGGTGTTATCCGAGGACCTTCCCACCTCACGGTGCATATCCCATTATTCCCTCTGTACACACGCAGCATCAGGCCTCTGGAAAGCTTAAATGAGACCCCCCCCCAAGGTGGCAGTGTTGCCTAGTGGACAGTGGAAGCCAAGCTAACTCCAAATCCAGCGCTCTGTCATGAATCGGTGCCCAGCGTCATGTCTAGGACAATGGGTGGAGAGCCTCCTGCCTCCCTTCAGAGCCATCTGACTCCACAGCTGGCTTCCGTCAACCTGATGCACCCCAAGGCAGAGCACATGACCTCCCTCCAAGGCAGGAGGAGGAAGGAGGGAAATGCCGTTGGCCAGGCTCCATCGAGCCCCTGCCAGCCTCCCTCCTGGCTGCCCACGGTGTGGCTCTGACCTCCAGGGACAGCAGTGCCCGCCGAGCATCTTTTCATGTGCTCACGGACTGTTCATATCTCTTATTTGGAGAGATGTTTATTCAAAACCTTTGCCTATCTCTTTATTTGGGTTATTTGTGTTTTGTTGTTGAATTCTAGACACTTTATATACTCGGGAAACTAGGTCGGATGTGTGATTTGAAAATACCTCCTCCTATCCTGCAGCTTATCTTTCCACTATCTCAAGTATCTTTCGAAGCACATAAGTTTTTAATTTTGATGGAGTCTAATTTATCTGTTTTCCTTTTGTTCCTTATGCTTTTGGTGTCATGGCCAAGGACCGTCACCAAATTCAAGGTCATGGGAATTTACCCCCATGCTTTCTTGTAAGAATTTTGCAGTTTTGGCTCTTAGGTTTTATACTTAGCTTTTTACTCAGTAATTTAACACGGCTCCTCACACTGATGTGGAGGACCACCATCCTTACTCTCTCTGTGCTGCTGTGTTGGCCTCCCCAAGATTTGAATAACGTGAACTTGGGAAGGTGGATGTGACGGAGGCTCTCTGAGACACCTTTATGACAGAGTGGCTTCCCAGTTCCCAAGGCACAGAGCGTCCCTTGCGGTTGTGTTCATCCCACATGGCCTTGCCTTTAGGGTCCCGGACCACATACCTGGTGCAGGGGATGCTGCACCAGGCTGGGTCCTGGCGGGCATGCACCTGGGTCACGTGACTCCTCTCTCCCTGCTTCTGGGCTCCAGTCCGTTCCCTCCTTGTCTGCTCACTTTTCCTGCAAAGTGCAAGGATTCTTCTGCTGTGGTTTTCAGAGGAGTCCATCTCCTGGCCAAACAGGGCTCCAGGGCCCCTCCCTGAATAGTGCTTGATCACCCTGCCCTGGAAGATCTGACCTAAGAAGGGGGCCCGGCTTCTTCTCCCAGACCTCGTGTCACCTCCTCTCTGATACCTTTCCAGAGCTCTTCCCAGGCAGAGCTGCCCTCTCTCCCAGTTTCTCTGTGTGTGTCTCTGCGTCTCTGTGTGTGTCTCTCTCTTTCTGTCTCTCCCTCTCTCTGTCTCTGTCCCTCTCTCCCTTCCTCTTTCCTCGGACTCTCCCAGCACTGTCTCCATGCCCCTTTTTCCTGCTGGGGAGGCCTGGCTGCACGGAGTGTGTCTCTGTTTCTGGACTGTAAGCTCCTTGTCATTAGGGACAGGGTCCTGCGTCCTCAGAGCCTAGTAAGGGCCTGGCACACCCACGGTGCTCAGTACGTATTGGGTAATGAATCAAGGAGACCCCAGTGGAGTCTTGGGAGCATACTCGTGATTTTGTTCTAAACCGAGAAGACCCCGGAGGCAGGGCAGGTGTGGTGGAGCCCTGTGGGGTGGCTCGACTGTGGCACGTTCCCATTTCCCGAGAGCAGGACTGTGAGGGGAGCTTGGCAGGTTTCCGGAAGCATTCACAGAGTCACTCCTCCTGCAGCTTTTCCCTTCCTGTGACTGGAAAACTGGGAAAGTGTAGCTGTCTGTGCCCTGCCACCGCCCGGAGCTGCCAAGTCTGTGTGGGCACGAGAGCATTTGCATCTATTCCGATGAATCTGCTTTGGGGTGTTGGGCCCGTCTCGGGCTTCTGGATGCGTGGCATGTATGGGCCCATCGCGGCCCGTTTCAACAGTGTGCCCGGGGGGTGAAGATGGTGCCTGGGGCGGACAGTTCAACCCGACCCCCTCGAGGGGACGGGCCCTGCCTTGGCTTCTACTCTGCTGGGTTCTCTCTGCAGAATGTGCTGGCAACGAGGTGGCCACGGTGGGCCAGCCACGGAGCACGGGGGGTCCACACCAGCGACTCTGCTCACTCCCAGAGCTGCGGGTCCTGGGGATTCGGGAAGGTCTGTTGGACCAGCCAGTTTTCTGGGATTTTCAGGTAAAGAACTGAAACCGAAGTGAGGGCAGAAGTGTGACCCTCGCAGGACCGGGACCGGGTGGGGTGGAGTGGGCGGCTGGTCCTCAGCAGCAGACTCTGTTCTCCCGTGAGGCCTTGGCGCCCTTCAGGAGAGCATCGCGGACTTCCTGCTGCTGATGGGTATGGGGGCTGTGGAATAACCCATAGAAGGAAGGAAGCCAGAGCCCAGCATTTTACCCCAGGTGACGATGAGTGAGCTGTCCCGCTAGAATCCAGCTCTAAACCAAACCCAGCTCTTCCATCCACAGGCAGGGTGCCTCCTCCTGGCGCCTCTCGGCCCCCAGCAGCTGCTCATCGTCCAGGCCGCGCTCGGGTGTTGGTGCTGAGAAGGGCTGAGAAGGCTTCCACCACCAGAGGGCCGGTCAGCCGGTGCTGCCTCCACACGAAAACCAGCCGGCCACTTCATAGCAGCCCTGATCAGACGCTCGAACATTAGACCGGAAACTGTGAGACCTCTGGACGAGAACCGGGGGTGAGCTCCTTGACATCGGTCTTGGGGATGATGTTTTGAATCTGACACCAAAAACAGGCAACAAAAGCAAAAATAAACAAGTGGGACCACATCAAACTAAAAAGCTCCCACTCAGCAAAGGAAACTGCCAACAATCATGAAAGGCAACCTACAGGACAGGAGAGAATATTTGCCAACCACCTATCTGGTAAGAGGTTAATATCCAAAACATACAAGAAACTCACACAGCTCAATAGAATAAAAAACAAAAACCAACCAACCAACAAATACAAATTCAAGAATGAGCAGAGGACCCGAACCGACATTTCTCCAAAGAAGACACACAGGTGGCCAACACACTCATGCGAAGATGCTCAGCATCACTTGTCGTCAGGGAAAAGCAAGTCAGAACCACAAAGAGACACCGCCCAACACGGGTCAGGATGGGCTATCGTGAAGACGAGAGCTGACGGGCTAGCGAGGATGCTGGTGGGAGGCCAGGGGCTGCCAGTGGGATCTGGTAACCCCACTTCTGCATATTTATCCAAAGGAATTCATTTCATTTCCACGAGATATTCTGTTACTCGGCCTTAAAAAAGAAGGAGTTCCCGGGGGGCTCAGGTGGTTAAGTATTGGACTCTTAATTTCAGCTCAGATCATGATCTCAGGGTCCTGGGATGGAAAACCCCATGTCGGGCTCTGTGCTCAGCGGGGATTCTGCTTGAGATTCTCTCTCCTTCTGCCCCTCCCCCTCTCTCTTTCTCTCTCAAATAAACAAATCTTAAAGAAAAGAAGGGTTTCCTGTGAAACTGGAGGGCTTTATTTTTTTTTAAAGATTTTATTTATTTATTTGAGAGCGAGAGAGTGAGCACAAGCGGGGGGAGATGCAGAGGGAGAAGGAGAAACAGGCTCCCCGACCAGCAGGGAGCCCGATGTGGGACTTGATCCCAGGACCCTGAGATCATGACCTGAGCCAGAGGCAGATGCAAGGCTTTTACTGGTGGGGTTGGCACGGTCACAGGAGCGCGGGGCTGGACGGAGGCACAGACAACACAAGGACCTTCGTGTTTTCCTCTGGTGAACGTTGATGTGCCCCGAACAGTTCCTCTCGTGGGGGCTCCAGCTCCCTGACCTTCTCAGCAGGGCGGGAGCGTGAACCCCCGGTGCCCTGAGGCTCCCTGCCTGTCCCGACTTAACTCCTCCCCTGTACCCAGAGTGCTGGCTTGCACCATCCGCAGGCCAGTTGGGAAAACGGTCGTCCCAGGCCTGCTCTGGGCGCTTCATCTCCCCTGGAGCCCTGCCTGAGAAGGGATGCCGTGGGTCCTTAAAGACTGGATTGAGGAGGGGGCGCCTGGCTGGCTCAGTTGGTGGAGAGCGCAGCTCTTGCTTCCAGGGTTGTGAGTTTGAGTCCCACATTGGGGGTAGAGATTACTTAAAAGATAATTTAATAAAATCCTTTAAAAAACATTAAGAAGATTGGATTTAGGGAGGGTTCGCTGTGGAGGCACCACTGACAGCCCAGCCAGTGCCACCCGGAGCCTATCTGTTCTGACCACTGGGTGTCTCAGACTCAGAATGTCTTAAAAAATGTCTTGGTGAAGTAAGAATAAAGCTAATTCCTTAGATTTTTAAAAAATCCTCACATTGTTATGACTTAAGAAATATAATCTCCTCTTTCACAAATCTCTCTTAGTCGAATAAAGACCTGTCCCTTCTCTGTAGAACCAAATGTTCTTTGTTCACAACTCAGGATCGCTTGCTTAGCCGCTCTCAGAGGCGCTGCCGGACGCGGGCAGGACAGAACGTCACACGGGTTCATCTACTTTTGCAACAATGAGAGCGCAGACGGCCACGAAGGAAAATCCCCACAGGAGGATGTCAAGGCATTAACAAAAATCTCAGGTACAAACATGGGGGATTACCAGTGTGTTTTAGATTCAAGTTCATTTTCATAATGGGCTTCATTTTCCTTGGATTCTACAGGGTTTTGGCCTCTGCCATGAGGAATAAGCTCTCATCCTGGTAATTTAGGATTGGCCCTTTGTAGTACTTGTCTTTGGGGAAGAATGAATGGTTTGAGAAGGTACTGGAGTGACCTTGTGCTTGGCGTTAATCAGGAGCCATCCACACAGCTCTTCTGAACATCAGCCCTTCGTCTGGCCTTGTCTTTCTCCCAGCCGCATGGGGTCACGGGGAGGGGAGGTGGACACGCTCTGGAGACAGAAACCCAGGTTTGCATCAGGTTTCTGCCACATATTAACTTTGCTGTGCCTCAGTTTCCCTGTCTCTGTACAACGTGGCTTGGTTTACCTGCCTCACTGGATCCTCATGTGGGTTAACGGGATTGTTGAGCCTGCTCTAGACCCCCCACCTCCCTTGGCCTCACCCCTCGGGCCACCAGCCTGGGCAGGCGCAGGAGGGGCGGGGGTGGGGGCTCTGCCTGCTCCTGGCAGGACCTGCTTGCTGCAGACCTCACTCTCTGGCGGACCGCTGAGTGGCTCTGTCACTTCCTCCCACCCGGTGCACTTTGTTCCGCACGAAACACCCAGCACGGCCAGGTCACCCTCACCTTGGCTCATGGCCCCGAGGGTCTCAGTGCCTCCCGACCTCACCTCCCGGCCCCGCCCACGACAGGCAAAGAACAGAGTTACTCTCCTGGCAGGAGTGACTGGCCTGACTCTCCTGAGTGTGAAGGTGCTGCGGTGGGGGGCTGAGGAAGAAGACGCGGGACTCGGGACATCCACGCGGCCTTTCAGCGTCCAGGGTAGAGGCGAGTCAGCAGCTGCGTGAGAAGCCCTGCGAAGGCAAGGGCTCCCATCCCTTGGGCACCCCCGGGTGTGGTGGCATTGCCCCCGCCCCCCGATGTCACGGGGGGCCCAGCACACACGTGAGCAGCAAGGAGAACCCACGTGGGGAGCCTGCCTCACTGGGGTGGTGGCTACAGGGCTCGCTTCTGCCTCTTGTCCTTGCGACCCACAATTCTGTGACACTGGCCGGGGTTCCCAGTGGAACCCCGCCTGACTACCTGTCTGTGACAGCCGGTGCCATGCCCTTAAGTGGCTCCTCCCCCGTCCCCCCCGCACCATCCCCATGCCCAGGACGGCCTCCCACAGGGGCCACCTGCACACAGTGGTCCCTCAGACTTGGCGTGGCGAGCCCAGTGACGTCAAGTGATGCCCACGTTTGGTTTCAGAGGACCGGTGACGTTTCTCAGATGGATTAGGAGTGCAGCGCGGAGGAGGCGGAGGGACTTTCCAGCAGGAACATCACACAGGGGCCGGGAGGCAGGGGGACACGTCCTTCGGCTTAGGGGTGGCAAACGATGATCCACGCGCCAAACCAGCCCAACACATGTTCCTGTAAATGAAGTTTTATTGGTCCACGTGTGCTGGTTTCAGCCTGCAGCAGAGCAGGGGGCCACAAAGGGGACCTCACGCCACACAACCCCGAGTTCCTCTCTGGCCCCTTACAGCACGAGTTTGCCATCGGCCCTTCGTGGAGCTGTGGAGCCTGTGGGGGGCAGGAAGCAGGGGCGACGTGATCGGATAACGTCCTGGAGAGGTCACTTTCTCGGGTGGTGTCGGGTGAAGAAGCGAAGGGCCTGGCCGAGGACGTTCAGAGCTGCATGCGGGAGATGGTGGGCGTCAGGACGGAGCGAAGACGGAGCCCGTGGGCTGGGCAGGAGGGCGTGGCCCTGGGCCTCACGGAGGAGGAAGGGCCGGCGAGGGGGCCGGCGAGGGCAGCAGGCCCACACACGCACGGCGGTGGCCCGCAGGGCGGACTGTTCCGTGGGCAGGGCTGGCTTCTCCTAGGCCACCGGCTCCCTGCCTGACTGGGGGCTGTGGTCACGGGGCGACCTCGAAGCTCAGGGCCCTTTCCTGGCTCAGCAGTGAGCTGACTTGCCCTCTGAGTGCTACCGTGTCTCACTGCAGACGATGTGTGGTGGGGGGAACTGCCACGGGAGCGTGGCCCCAGGGGCAGGGGGCCGGGAATGCCGCCTGTGATCTTGGCTCCTGAGCAGGTGGTGGCTGGAGAAGGAGGCGCGCACCTCAGCAGGCCGGGGTTGGGGGCGGGGGGCTTGAGGCTGCATGACAAGTGGGAATGGACCCTGCATTTCTCTACCCGGTCTGCGGGTGTGGACCACGAAGCTGCGGGAGCCTGGCAGGTGTGCGAGAAAGACCCGGACGGGCCTCTGGAGCATGCTCCTGATAACCTCATCCTTTATTTACTGCTGGGTCCATGGATGCTCCTTGTAAGTAAGGAGCCTGGGAGGAAAGGCCTGTAAATTCCATTCAGGACACCTGTCCGCTTTGTTCTCAGTTGTGCTTGAAAGAGAACAGGGGTAAACTTCTGTCTGCTTTTTTCTCAGCCGTGAACTTGCACCTCTGTGTGTCCCTCTTCTTCCTCCTCACTTGTGTGTGTTCTCAGCTCCTGTTATTCATCAGTTACTTGGGGCTGTTTGTAATCTGATGACGTATTAGAAGGTAGCGCAGCTTGCTGGCTGCCTTATTTCTCCTTGACCACACTCTAAGCCAGCTGGGCCTTCTTACTCTGAGTATAAAGTTTTAGGAGGGCAGTTACAGCTGGAACTCCTAAATTTAATACAAAGAAAAGTCCTTATAAATATTTTGGAATTCTTTAGTTAATTAGTAATATCACAGAAGTCACTCTGTATATCATGCTAGATCATTTGAGTTTGAAAGTTTAAAAAAAGTGCAATTAAAATATACCTCTTTATTTTCATGGCAGCGTAATTATTTGATGTGACTACTTTAAAGCTTCTGAGGCATCAACTATTTTTCTGTTGGAAGAAGTCTCTCTGACCTTCCTGGCTTGTTTGTGGTAACTGCGGAGCCTTGGTCCCGCAGGCTTTACACCGAGGCTCCTGGTGGAGCTGCTTGGGTGGTAGGCCCACTCTCCTCGTGGGGAAGCCTGTCTGCTCTGGGCTCAGTCTCATGCCGTGTCCCCTCTCCGCTGTCCCCCTCCTTGGGGAATACCATTTGCTCCCAGGGCTCCGGGATCCAGACTGATGGTCCTCCAGTGTCTCTCCCACCCTGAATCTCCCCTGAGCTTCCTGCTTCGAGGGCTCCCCACCTAGCATCTAGAATGCATCTGAAAACCTCACTCAAACGCTCCTTGGCAGCATTCCACGTCCTGATTGGCGGCACTCCTGTCCCCCAGATCACAGCGCAGAAATGTGAAAGTCATCCTGTTTTCCCCCTTTTCTCTCGGCTCCACTCGGTCTGTCTTGGTCCTGCCGGCCTGAGCGACCAGCCACCGGCTCAGCGAACCACCCTAGCTATTGACCGCCATATGCTGGAGCGCTGGGCCCTGTGCTAACTCCTGATGTCTGTCCCTCTGTACGTCCAGCCCATGCTTCATGCACAAACCATAATTATCTCTTTAAAATGTAAATTACTTCCCATCACTGCCCCTCTTAAAAGCCTCTTAATAGTCTTCTCTCACACTTGGAACAAAATCCAAAATCCTTACCCTGATCTGTAAGGCCTCACGTGGCCTGGTGTGGGTTTTTCCTTAAAATTCACTGGGCGGCCAGAGCTAATCCTTTGTCCACTAAAAATCCCACTGTCCATGTTATTATTATATTGCTATAGTTCAGATGTCAGTTGCTATATTAAGAGGCTAAAGCACATATTTACATATTTTAATCAATACATTATACTATAGTGTGGCTTTTACATATTTAAACTATTCTAATGGATCTTCTTGAAATACCATTAAAGACAGCATATCCTTGACGTCTGTCTCAGGAACATGGACGTGTGGGAAGTTCTCTTCATTGTAGCTAAAAATGCAGCTTGTGTGTTCTGGGCCTGTTGGTGTGATGGGGTGAAGTGTCGCCCTCAGTCTGTGTTCCTGTCCTCCCGGAGCAGTCACCCCACAGGCCTCAAGTCCTTTGCTTTTCATGTAAGTTTTAGAATAATCTTATCCACATATGCAAGACTTTTGGTGGGCACTGCATTAATCCACATGCTGGTCTGGGGGCAGTCAACATCTTTGCTGTCGAACCTGGCAATCCACGATTGTGGCACGTCTCCCTGTTACATTTATCTTCTCTAATTGCTTTTTTTGGCATTTTGTGGTTGTCAGCACACACATGTCCTGTGCAGGTTTTGTTAGATCTACACCTAAGTATTTCGCCTTGAAAGTAATTTCACATAGTACTGTGTTTTACTCTCAGTGTCTGTTCATTGCTGGTGTGTAGAAATACAGTGGATCTCTGTTCACTGATCCTGTCTCCTGGGAACTTACCCAATTCACTTTTTAGTTCTAGAGCTTTTTGTAGATTTCTTGGGGCTCCATGCACAGATAATCATGCCATCCACAAGTAGAAACCATTTTATTCTTTCCTTTCTGGTCTGTATGCTTTCATTCCCTTTTCTTGCCTCGTTGCATTGGCCTGATTTCCCAGCATGTTCTGAGTAAGAGCAGTGAGAACAAACATCTTTGCCTTGTTCCCAAAGTTAGGAGTGAGGCATTCAGCCCTTCACCAATGAGTATGAAGCTAGCTTTGGCTGTTGGTACATGTTCAGAATTAAGTTGAGGAAGTTCCCCTCTATTCTTACTTTTCTGAGAGTTTTTATCATGAATGGGTGTGATTTTTTTCAAATGCTTTTTCTATAATGATTGATACAGCCATGTGGTTTTTATTCTTTAGCATGATAATATGGTGGACTACATTGATTTTTTTTTTCTTTTTCTTTTTTTAACTGACAGGCTTTTTGCATCTTTATTATTGAGTTTTGAATTTACTCTTGTTTTTGGTGCACAGGTATTCTTGTTTTTTATTAATTTTTTTTTAAAAAGATTTTATTTATTTATTAGAGAGAGAGTTGGAGGGGGGGAAGCAGAGGGAGAGGGACAAGCAGACTCCACACTGAGTGTGGAGCCTGACGCAGGGCTCAATCTCATGACTCCAAGAACATGACCTGAGCCGAAATCAAGAGTCAGATGCTCAACCAACTGAGCCACTCAGGTGCCCTCTTACTAAGTTTTTAATTTCAATTCCAGTATAGTTATATACAGTGTTGTATTAGTTTTAGGTGTACAATACAGTGATTCAGTAATTCCATACATTACTCAGTGCTCATCATGATAAGTATGCTCTTAATCCCCACCTATTTCATCTGTCCCCCCACCCAGCTCTCCTCTGGTAATTGGCAGAAGACATCAACAGACATTTCTTCAAAGAAGACATACAGATGGCCAACACTGATTGACTTTTGAATATTGAACCAGCTTTGCATTCTGGAAATAAATTGTCATTGGTCATGGTATGTAATTATTTTCCTATTGTGCTGACCTCTGTCCCTTTGCTGAGGCTTTCCAGTTTTCTATTTGTTTCCAGTGTATCTGTACTTGTGGATGCATTTTATAATGGCTGTTTAAAGTCCTCATTAGATAATTCTAATATGTTGGCCATATTGGTTTTGGTGTCTCCTCATGATCTCTGACTCATTATCAGTCAGAGATATTCTTGGTGTTTAGTATGACTGGAACCTGGACGACTAGGGTATTATGGTATGGTACTGGATCTTGTTTAAGTCTCTGTTTCGGCGTGCTGTGGCAGGGAAAAGGAAGTGCCGCCTCATTGCTGCCAAGTGGGGGGGAAAGTGCAGGTTGTCCACTTGGCCTCCATGACACTGAGCTGGGGGAGCCCCGTGGTGCTGCTGGGCAGAGTTGGGAGTGTGACTCCCCAGTGGGCCCCATTGATTCCTCTGGTCTTGCAACATCAGGACTGCTCCCCACATGGCCTCCCCTGACACCATGATTGGGCGACTGTGAACGTCCTGACTGGGGTCACCCCAACAACCACAGGGTAGCCTTTGTCCTCTTCTGCCTGCTTCCGTCCCAGGACCCAGGCATTTTTTGCAATAGCTTTGGGAGACCTAGGGGGACCTTGCCATACACACCTGGTGAGCACGCTCCTGGTGAAGTTGGCCTATCAGCAAGTGTCTCGGGTCTGTGCCCTGTGGAGAGCACGGCCTCTGGCAGTTGGGTACCCGAGTTCAAATCCCAGCTCCACCATTCTTGGCAGTGGGACCTTGAGCACGTTACTGAACCTCAATACTTCAGTTACTTACTCCGTACGGTGGGGATGATAGTAAGGTTATAGGGGGGTTACCTGGGCTAATAACGTGTAAACCCCTCAGAAGAGTACCTGGTGCACAGACCGTGGTACACGAGTGTTTACATTTGCTGTTGTTATCAGTGCCGCCCAGTTAGGTGAATCGGGACACTGCCATCTGCCCCTCCACCCCTGGGCTCTCTGGGGTCATCTGGCTGTAAAAGTATATAGTGCGAAGGGTGTCAGTGCCTGCCGTGGTGGCCAGACCGTGTCCAGGCTGAGGACCAGGATCTGACGTGTGAACGAGGACGGCGGCGAGAAGCGTGGACGGTGGTTCTTATGACAGTCGGCAGCTGTGCGGGCCAGGGTGGCTGGGGCCATCATGGGTGTCACCGTGCTCTCCAGGGCCAACCCCTGCCTGCAGCGCTGCTCTGCGCCCCAGGCAAACCCGAGCACTTCTGCCTGTTTGTGCGAGTACGCTCCCTCCCATGTGGGTGTTACTCTAGTTCCCACGTTCTTCCCAGCAACTGTCCAAAGTCCTGAGTCTCTAACTCAGCTTCTACGTCCAGAAGGAGAGGCTTCCACGGTTCACACAAGAGCGAGGTTTCTCAGAAGTGGTCACGCCATCGTCTGTCCCCTACACTTTTCTTGTGTCCTTCGCTCCTGCCTCCAAGGGTGAGGGCTCACCCCACTGGGGTTCTGGAAGTGTCTAGACTCCACAAATTCAGGTCGGTGTTAGATCCTGAGGCTGCTGGAGCAAATGACCACAAACTGGGTGGCTTACAACAACAGAAGTGCATGTCCTCACAGCTCTGGAAGCTGGAAGTCTGAGGCCAAAGTGTCAGCAGGGTCGGTTCCTTCTGAGGCCTTGAGGGAGCGTGAGGGGGAGTGTTCCAGCCTGTCCAGATTCTGGGGATTTGCTAGTGGCCCTTGGTGTTCCTTTGCTTCTGGAAGCATCACGTCGTCGCTCTAGGCTCTGCCCTCATCGGCACGCAGTGCTCCTCCTGTGTGTCTCTGCATCCAAATGTCCTTCTTACAAGGACACCATTGCCTGGATTAAGGGCCACCCTACTCCAGGACACTTGCAAAGACCTTGTGGCCACATTCACGGGTGCCTGCAGTTACGACTTTTTCATAGCTTCTCAGGGGACCCAGTTCAACCCACAACCAGGGGTAACAGTGATGCCCAAGTGGGGACCTCTGCTGGGTCAGAAATGTCACCCCCGCCGCAGTGTGCAGAGAGTGTGGATGGGGAAGGGTCCTGGGCAGGGGAATATGAGTAGAGACATGATTAAAGTTGTTCCAGAAAGAGATTAAGTTCTGAACCAGTGAGCGGGGTTTGGGATAGATCATGTTGTCTCTTTAAAATTTTGTGTCCCAAATTCAAAACCTTTTTATAGTCTCCCCCTCCCCTTTAATGCCAGGTGTCTGAGCTCTGCACACAGGCATTTCCTGGGCTTGTCCCTGTTCTGCTGGAGGCCACGCTTATCACGCTGTCCACGATGGAGGCTGCGCAGCTGTGCATCTGGGCTGGTGGGAGCCAAGTTTGTTTATGTAAATTTTGTTTTATTTTAGTCTTTCCAATGACTGCCCTGGGGCTTTAGTTCTGAGCCAAGGGCAGGGAAGAAAAGCCTTTATTGCTGAGATGTAGGCATTTGGGATAATACGTGAAGCAAACATCAGCTCACACCTAGCGAGCCCTTCCCGAGCAGCTCACCTTCCTCAGTGATTCTCGGAGAAACAGACACTGTTCCCACCAGGGGCAAGTCTGTCAAACGTCTTTTCTCTTTCATTTCCACAGCTTTATTTAGCTTTTGAAAAGTTCCTTTAAATATATTATGTCATTCTAGTATATGTTTCCTTCCTTTATAATTATTCTTGAGCCCAGGCTGCAGCAAAGGGAGCACATGCAACAGCAATGATGGATTTGTAGGCAATTATTTTCTTATAAATTCTTCCATTCTAAATACAAGTGAGTCTTTCCAAATCTCATTTTGTGAAGTAGATGGTCAGGAGAAGGCTATGGTCATCAGTAAAATATTTTCAATTACATTTATAAGTGCGTTAAAGAGGATATTGAAGGTGATGGAGAAGACCCTGATGCGAGGATTCGTTGTTTTGGAGTGTTTACTGACCCGACTCTGTGTCGGGAAAGGGTGGGCCATGGGGGTGGGGAGAAGAGCAGGACCCCCGTGGATAAAGGTCCTGCCGTCTGTCTGTGTGGGCCACCGAAGGCCCAGATGCCTAACTTTGTGACTCCCTGACCCGCTCTGCCACATTCTTCCCGAGCCCTCCAGCGCCCTGAGCCACTGCCTCCAGAAGGAGGGTGCGCCCTCCACCTCTGTCCCCTGCGCCCTCCACCTCTGTCCCCTGTACCCTCCTGTGTCCTTTGCTCTGCCCCAAAGAAGACTCTTCTTCAGGCTCCCTTGATCCTATTCCCTCTCCCTAGTACACAACGGTTCGTGCAATTGGAAAAACCACAAACAACATTTTTTGGTCAACATCACTCAGCATGCCAATACATGTCATTGCCAAGTTGTGCCCAGTCCCGAGAGTCCCTCTGGCTCTGAGTTGAGGGGACCGTGGAAAGGCCAGTGGGCGGGGGCAGGCCATGGCCACAGCAGTCAAGGAAGTCAGAGGCATCTAGGAGTCAAACACACGAAGCCCTCTGAGCTTGGCCATGGCGTTCTGACGGTTCTGTGCCGTGGTCTTGCCACAGAGTCTCTCGGGTTGGGATCTGCTGCTCTGCCTGTCCACGCTCTCCTGCCTTCCTCCTTCACTCATCCCCTTGTGCTGTTTATCCTTCCTCACCTCCCCATCCTTTCCCGTGGCCCTAAAATCCCCCTCATGTGCCCAGAGATGGCCTGGGAGGACAGGTGGCCCAGACCCACCAGCCTCTAAATATATTTATATTGTCCGCTTGGAGGAGGAAAATGGAAGGTCTAGCACTGAACATAAATGGGCAAATGGAAACTAAGAACAGTGGCGTGTATTTTGCACTTGACCCTGACAGCCCACCATGCACTGCAGAGTCGTTCTGTCTTGGGGGCTGTGCCTGGGCCTGGAGGCAAAGTGCCCATCCCCACATGTGCTGTCCCATGGGTTCAGCCTCCCCTGTCAGCCGGGACCCAAAGAATCATGGCGCGCCTTCCAGGGTCTTCCCTTCCCACCTGCTCAGCGTCATGGCCGACACCGTGAGCACAGGGAGTGATGGCTCCCGCCTGGAGTCTGAGTGGCTGTGCAGCCCTGGCGAGGTGCCCGAGTCAGCAAGTCTACCACTGCACCTGGGGCTGATCTAGAGCCTAGAGCAGGCCTTCGCTGATGGCCAAGTTACTGCCCTGCCACATTGTCAGGCTCGGCCTGTGGCTTGCTGCCTGGTCTGCCCACAGGAGGCTCAAGTTTCCACCAGCGGGGAGACCTGCCAGCCCCCCGCAGACCCTCCCCCGGCCTGATCTCCTCGCGGGAAGCCGGCGGCTGCCACTGGTGTGTCCAGTGAACGGTGAGTGAGCGGCCCCCACACCACGGAGACTTGGGGTTGTTCACAACTGCAGCCAACACTGACTGACACCCCGTCTTCGTCAGTGCTGGATTTTGCCAGATTTTAGTCTATCATACCGAGGCTTTAATTTGCTTTCCCAAATTAGTAATGGAGTTGAGGTTTTGTTTTGTTTTCGTTTTTCTGGCTCCTCGTGGTTCTCCTTCCGTGACAGGCCCGATTCTAGTTATTTGTTGACCCACAGGAGTGCTTTCTGCCATCCAGATACTGCTCTTGGGTTGGATGTGTGTGTTCCGAAGACCTTGCCCCATTGTTATGCGTTGTCTCTTCATTCTCTTTAGGGTGTCTTTAGAGATCAGACACTCTTAATTTTAAATTAATTCTTAATTTTAAAGTTAAATAGTTCAGTTTTTCTCTCTGGTTGTGCTTCTTACATCTGTTTATAAGAAACTGTTTCTTACCCTAAGGCCATAATGAAATTCTTCTATATTTTCTTCAACTATGTATATAGTTTTGCTTCTCACTTAGAGGTCATTCATGGATCTGGAACTTATTTTTACATAGGGCATCCAGTAGGGATCTAAATTTATCTTTTTTGGGGTAAATATGTAAACAGTCATCTTAGCTCTGTTGAATGGCCCATTGTTTCCCCACTGACTCCCCATGTGATTTCTGCCATCGATCAAGCCCTTCTGTGTGTGTCCCACAGG